TGTTTCTCTTTCTCACACCGAGAAGAAACATAACCAACAAGTTTAGAAATAGCATGCTTGAAGCTCTTTGCATCAGATACATTGTTAAGCTCAAATTTCCTTTCCATTTGTATTTCCCACTCAAAAGAATTCTCAGGATCACTAGTTCCCCTGAAAGTAGGAAGTGAAGTGTTGATGTTATTAAGACCCCAGTCTTCTTTATCGTCCCACCTTTTACCATGTTCTTCATTACTAACATTTCCATCATAATCATAAGCATCATTCAAGTTTCTACCTTGATAATCCCTATCATGTCTTCCAAATCACCCTATAAAGCCTCACTGTCCATTCCTTCTAGGTTGGACTCTAATTGGTTCATCATATTGCTTGTCATAGTCCAAATCAACATCAGTCATTTTGCGATTGTTGTGGCCTAAGAGGTCGTTGTTGATGCTCAACTCTAGCTTGTCTAGCTTGTGGAAGTGGACCTTGTCTTGGTACTTGGTTGTTAGCAACTTGTGGTTGATTAATAGCCTTACACATTACAATGTGTGATGTGGAGGAAGTAGAACTAGTTTGTCGTATAGCACTAGTTCCCACTTTTTGGTTAGGATTAGGTGATAAGCCTTGTCATTGGTTAAGAAAGTTATCATGAGACTTGACCATTTGTTCCATGTTAACGACTTTCATAATCAAAGTTTGTAAAGCCTCCAAAATAGTCTCATTGGAGAATCTCTCACTTGGAGTTGTAGTATCTCCAATATTCAAAGACATAGTACCCACAAATAAAGAAAACAAGTTAAAGTAAAAGGACCTCTCTGATTCACTCCCATAGTGTATCCCTCAAAGATTGCACTCGAATTTTACCAATCATGTATCACTCTTGTACACCTGCCGTTTAGGCATACACTCTAAGAATCCCACCACTCAAGCCTTTTTTTTTACTCTGGGATGAATATCCAAAGTTGATATCAAACTCAATTGAGGCACTTCCAAGTGGTTCTTCCAACTTCGCGGTGAGAATGGAGTTTATGTGACTCAACGAAAAAGCTAAATTAACTAACGAACAGTGAAAACAAGAAATTAACAATGTAATCAAAGACAAAACCGCAGAATAATTGCCATGAAATAAAAAATACGACATAATAACTGAATTAACAAAATATGACTAATTACTAATGTTAACTAGATAAGAATAATCAAAGAAAACAATTAGGAATAAGAAGAACACAAAGACGCTCAAATTGTGCAAGTAGAAAATTCGACTCCACGATCTATTTTCGTGACCACGATTGGTGCCGGCTTAGAGCCATCGGCTACACGATCTGCAATGGGGCCACGATTCATGCTGAGTAGGGGAAGTTCATGTATACGATTTGATTTCCGCTTCACGTTTTCTGAGTGATCTTTCGCTTCAGCAATTTTCAGCTTCTGCCCGACTCCACGAACAAGTTCGGCTCCACGAAGTAGTCCACAGATCTCAAAATTTTGCAATTTTTTTCACCTCAATTTTGGTTCTCAAACCCGATCAAATCGCTTCCAAATGTTCCCAAACTTCAGATTTCACTTGGGAATCACCTTAGGATCAAACCCCAATGAATTTTAACATCAAATTCATGAATCACATAAATTTAAATGGATCAATTTGTACTTTTTTTATGAACCCACTTATGAACATGATGAACTTGAAGAACAAGAAACTTTCGAATTTCATTTGTAGTCACTAAAATGACTTCAAATATACTCCATTTGATGTATTTTCATACAGAGAACAAACCACAATTAATTGCAAACATCAATATGCATCAAGATCCAAGAAATCAAAGATTCAACTCAAGAACACGAAGAACAATTATTTTGGGGGGATTTTCAAATAAAATCAAATACTTAGCTAGTGTATATAGAAACAAACATCAATCTAAGCTCTGATACCAAATGATACGAATGCGGAAGCAAAATAATAAAAACACAAATAAAAGGTAGAAAGATAGAGATTTAGTAGAGAACCAACTACGGAAATTGAAAGAACATTTGAAATAAACAAATACCTAACTAATATAAGACTTAATTGACCCAAAACTATAGGAACAACCCTCAAAGGGAAGCAATCCCCTTGCAAGTTCATCTTAACAAGTAATCAACCAACTTAGGAATTCTTCCTCAACATTCTCAATGAGTTTTCATTCACAATATCAAAATAAGGTTAGTCTAAAATGAGATCCTTAAGGCTATTTATACTAGGGAGCTAAGTATTACAAATATAGCCGTCAAACATATTGTAGTCTTTAATTGTTGGAATTGCACATATAGCCGCCCCTTTATGAAAGTAGCCTACAATTAGAATCCAAAGTATTCGATGGCTATTTGGATTGTATCAGAAAGGGACACACAACGTGACTATTTCCTTTCTAGAGAATATCGTACACAAAGTATTGAAATTAGATTAATTGAACGATGGTTTCTCTCAAAACTACATTAGAGGGATGCTTATGACTAAAACAAACTCAAGACTTTAATCATAAAGAGTTGTTCCACCTCTTGAATTAATAAAGTTTGAATGGCAGTAATCTATTTGTAAGTAGCTATAATTAAGAGTGAAAAGATCTGTGCATCTAAAGGTAATGTGTAGAGTAGCCGAGAACCATTTTAAACTCATATGAAAATCTTGGAATCAATGAAGGATAGATAATTCTCTAGGCTCAGGTGCATCATGCTGCTAAGATTTTTTTCTGGATTTTTTTCTTCGAAAAAAGGTCAAATATACTCATATACTATCGAAAATAATTTAAATATATCCTTTGTTATACTATTAGGGGTCGTTTGGTTGGAATATGATTGATACCGGTATAAGTTATATTAGGACAAGTTATGTTGGGATTAGTTATGCTAGGATTGTTGTTTATTCATTGTTTTGTATGTTGTATTAAGAATGACAATTGCATAATTTCTAAGAAGAAAGTATAAGCTGTATCGGTGCTAATTACCCCGCCTTCTATAAGGTATAAGTTATCCCAGTGTTAAAATTAACACCGGAATAACTTATACCTGGTTTGCTAACCAAACAGAGTATTAAGGTGGTATTAAATTTTTATATCACCCTTATACCTTCTTATACCTCATTCCAAACGATCCCTTAGGTTATTTCAAACCCAAACAAATGTACCCTTATTTTGGATTGTGTCACGTGGCTATACCAGATTAAATTAACCCAACCCCTTTATTTTAACCCGGTTTACTTTTTAAAAAAAAAAAAAAACTACCCGATCTAAAGTCCACCCCACTTAAAAGAAGACCTTATAATGAATTAAACCCTCATTTCAGCTCTCACCCTTTATTGTTAATCTCTAAAGAGCATTATGATTACCAGCATCTCCTCTGCTGCATAGGGTTTAATACATGGATTATAAGTTGATTAATTTGTCCCTCGTCGAATTCCCATGATTGCTTCCCTTGTAGTTACCGAAGTGTATTTGTCTAGAGAGATGGTCATAATAATTCTTCTTAAACATGGATTATACTTCACAATATGCCCGACTCGAAGGATTTGTGTCCCTCTTTCCTCTTTTCTTCTTAATTTTCGCAACCCAATTCATTGTCTCTTAGCTTTTAATATGAGGTGGTGTTCAGTTATTTTATGTTTGTTAAACTGAATATTTTGCACTTTGATTTGTGAAACCATAAACCTCACTCAAATCAAGTCGAAATCGTCCAAACAGAAGTCAGATATTACTAGTACCTTGGTTTGATTTCCATTTTGTACTAAAAAAATTAGCCCGTTATTTGTTCAACTTGAAATTTCTTTTTAAAAAAAAACATCTCCGACCAAACTACTAAAGGTGAGCATTATAATTTTGACAGAGAACCCCTGTCAACTGAAAAATTAAAGAGACGACAAAGGAGAAGCAGACGATACAGGGAAATTAGAAAGGCTAAAGCATAGTGTGCTCGCAATACTCTTTGGATTTTAGCAATAAAGAGGGAGAGTTGAAATGAGGTTTTAATTCATTATAGGGTCTTTTCAAGCGAGGTAGACTTTGGGTCGGGCTGTGATTTTTTTTTTTAGGTGAACCGGGTTAAAATAAAGGGGATGGGTTAATTTAACTAGTGCAACGACATGGCACTCTATCCAAAATAAGGATATACTTGCTCCATAGTATAACGGTAGGTGTCTAAATAGCCAGATAGTATAACGAATGTTATATTTAAACTATTTTCGATAGTACAGAGTATATTTGACCATTTTCCCATTTTTTCTTTCTTCTATAAACCTCTTTTTTTCTTTTTGTTTTTCTTTTTTCCAATCCGATATCTACATTGTGACTCAATTAATCCGGAAGTCCCACATTTGGGTATAAAGCACTCCCTAACAAAAGCGAGTGCTCAAGCCCGAGACCTCTGATTAAGAATGATGGAGTACTTATCATTCCATTACAACCCATTCGAGTGTTTGCTCGTCGTTTAGGCCCGTGAGTGAGATTTCTTCTCATTGGTTGTGAAGTTTTATTTTACATGCTCTGAGTGGGCAACAAGCTGGCTAGTGGGCGTAAAGTAGAAAAAGAAGGCTCAATATAGGCTAAGGCGTGTACTTGGAGTAGAGAGAGCACACTCAATAACGGGCTCAATAGCTGAATAGCAAAACATTTTCATTGGCATTTGGCAATGGAGTAGAACTCAACAGACTAATGCAATGTGCCTTTAGCATAAAGAATGGACTCAACACGCTGAAGAGCGAGCTTAGAACAGATATTTTCCAACAGTATGAATGCTATGGCTCGTCTCCAACACATTTTCAGTAGGGGATTCAAGATTATTATAGTCGCATTATAATAGCATGTCTATTTTTATTTGATCATTTGAGACTGCTGCGGTATATTAAGATTTTTTGGATAAACTTCTCAACTTCAACATGTATATTGTCGGTTTTCTCTTCTCTTTTAGTAGAACATGACAACCAGACAAGTACAATTCACATGGCAATCAACTTTTATCTTGATACCATCGGGACACTTCAAAATCCTAAATGACAATAATTGGCTCTTTTTCACGTGACTAAAAAGATGAGGACATAACAGTAAACAGTTAGCGACAATCCAGAAACGACGAATAGAGTCACATTAAAATAAACCTATAACTTACAATTTAGGAGTAATTTACCTAACCTACTGAATATAAGTTCTGAATCATGCTACTTGAGCTTGGCTTCATCTTTCGACAGCTAAGGAAATCATTGAAGCTCAAAGGATTCTTTATCAGGAGGCCGAACTAGCTAACCTTTGTCTTTTTTCTTTTTCTGTTTACTACCTTTACCCATTTAGTTGGACTATTTTCTGCACATCAATATTTGCATTGTTGATCAGCTTTCATCACAAGAGGTTGAGGAATTTATAATGCAGGAAAGAAGCAATAAGCATTGGGCAAAACCAAATAAAGCCCATTATAAACTTAACCTTTTTTTATGCAGTAATAAAGACGTTTAATAAGCGTGTAGACTTCTGATGCATGAGTGCTGTGGGCTGAAATTAATAAACCTTATTGAGTTAAGAGCATTATACATGGAACAGATAGAACACTGCATACTAAACCTCGAGAGAGAGGAACGCCTCACGCTGGAACGGGTTCAGTAGCCTTCTTCAGCCATTCCGCTTCAGATTGATTCAAGTAAGGAGCAAGGATATCCGAGCATTTAGAGTGGTAGTCATTCAACCATTGGATTTCTTCGGGCGCCAGAAGGCTCACATCAATCAATTTTTTCTGATATGGTGCCTAGACCCGGGGGGAAAAGAGCAAATTAGTACCATCATCACACAAACATTTCAAATTATTTAGGCAACAGCTGAGTTATCATGTAGCATTTTCTGCATGAAAGACAACTAGTGGAGAACAAAAAATAACTATCTTCTTCTTCTTGGACCATCAAAGTACAGAATAGCAAGGTATACAACTACATAGACATATACAACAATATAATGCTGATACACTTACCCAAGTTATATGCTCAAATGTCAAGTAACCCTTGTCGCCAAAGTTGAACTTAGTATTGCCCTCCTTGACAATAAGCACATTCTCCAATCTAATACCAAATTTTCCATCCTCGTAATAACCAGGTTCTGGAAAATATTATCGCACCGTTAAGAGTTTCAAATGTTGAAGCCAGAAAATCATGACTAAGAGTTAAAAAGGAGAAGACAATTAGGTTATCTATGAACTTGGCAAAATAACATATTTTGCATGGATTTCAAAACACAAATAGTTTCAAGGAAAAATTCATAAATGGTTGGTGCTAATTTCAGCTCCCAAAAAATAATAAGCAACTTGCTGGATAACCATTGAATGCAATTTTGCACATACAAAAGCCTATTCATTCGCCTCGCTTTTTGCAGTCTTGCTCAAACAGCATGATATGATTACCGATGACATCCATCTCCTCCATTACAATAATTTCCAGTAAGAAAAGCAGCTTGGAATTGATTATGACAGGGGACATCTAACAGCTACATGCATTAAATATAATTCAAGAGGAGCAGAAATATAAAGCAATCAGAAAATATATAAAGCACAACTTTATTTTCAGTTTTGTCAAGTCTAAATGAAATCAGACTGACCATCTGTGACAGTCATTGAAACTTGCAGTGGCACATTTTGAGCTGATGGTCTGAAACTAATTTGATGAGGTCCTGATAAAAGTAGAAGAAAGTGAGTAAAACTTGTTACTTTACACTAACACAGTACATCCTCTGGATATTAAAGCACAAGTTACCTTCATGGACATTTAAGTAAGACCCAATACCATGACCAGTACCATGCCTATAGTCGAGCCCATACTTCCATAAAGGAGTTCGAGCAAGAATGTCAAGAGCATACCCTATAAAGAACATTCAGGCATAAGTAAGAAAAGTGGCCCCATGTGTTCTGCAATTACTTTGAGTACCATAACAGTTAAACAGCATCATACTAGAAAGAGTAATTCCAATATGGTCTGCAGATATGCGTATTTCTACATCCAACCCCCAAAAACATGCATAGACTAAGAAATCATCCTATAGACTCGTACCATTTGTTCCATTGGGAAACCGTGCATCACCCAATGAAATATGTCCTTTGAGAACCTACATAAGTAAAGGAACTTCCAGGGTTAGAGCAATATATGACAAAGCAAAGGAAGAGAAAATTCTCATCCTCGAACTCACAAATTCTGAAGCACTCAATCCATTAGATACAAACATAATGTAGTACGGAAAATCATATAAAGAGAAAGAGAGAGGGAGACATAGCCCAGATATAAAATAGACTTGTTCACATTGTTGCAAGCATCTGCAGGCCGGGTAACACCCAAAAAAAAAAACGAATGAAAAAAAGCCTCTAAAAATGCTTCAACTGGTCTTTCAGAAAATGAATATTGCTCTGTTTTTCTTTTTTTGGGTGGAATGGTAAATCCCTAACCCAGCAGTTCAGCAGTGGTTTTTCCCACTTTACCGCGTCAAACCCACAACCTCATCGTGCTGAAGGGCCTTACCAGTTACCACTAGGCTCTCTCCCTTCGTCTTCTAAAAGTGAATATCGTTTATTCTTCCTTGATAAGACCACAGTTTTGAATCAACATGGGCCTTATTAATCATTTAGAAAAATTTCGAGACTGAAAGCAGATGTAATAATGTTAATTCACTCAAAAGGACTACCGGAAAAAGGAACATATATAAATAATTAAAATAAATTTAATGATTTGTTACTTGGTGCAAGGCTGCAAGCACAGCAAGAAAAGCTCTAGCAATCCCAAGGATGATAGTGATTCCAATGGTTTATCAATCATAGCAAGGGCCTCCCCGAAATCCTTAAGGTGGTGTCCACTAACCAAGTAAGCAAATGTACTTGAATTTTGAAATTTGACTTCCCTTATGCATGGTCACAATGACTCACAACTCCACATGCTTTTTATCACAGTTATAAATTAACAAGGTTTACATACCGCAGTATAACATGCTTTCTCATGTGGAGTAGGTTTTCCAAAATGAACAGTCCGTGTAATATCAGTTGTTCCATCCAGATACTTCAGCAGCAACAACACCAACACCATCAATTTTAAAGGATCACAAGTTAGCACTAGGAGGCGGTAATAAATAAAATTCTCAAAATATCTGTATCATCACCCGAACCAAACAGTATTTCACAAACCTGTGCTCCTGAATCACATAGGTAAATTTTATCTGGATCAAGTTCAGCACATGTTTCTGCCTCGGGTGAATAATGAATAATGGCTGCATTTGAACCAACAGATGAAATAGTTGGAAAACTCAGCCCTCTAAAATTCTGCAGATATACAAGGACAAGTTTCTCAGAATGTTTAGTAAAAAGAGAAATAATAATGAAACTTCACCAACTTTAAAGATTCCTTAGTTTCAAACTAGATCAGACCCACAAAACATTCTCATCAAGCAATTGGACATTTGCTACCCCATTCATATATTAAGGCTCAGTTATTACATGCTATTTGCACTTTAACAATACCGTCATTGCCCATAGACATTAATTTTTTCACAGGTTTTGTTTCTTATTTTCCGGCACCCTCTTAAGTTCGTTCTATGTTCTTTATCCTCGCCACAACACAAAGGCTATCCTTTTGCGTTTTGCCCCTCTACATTCTAAAGATAGAGAAAACAGGCTACTGCCCCCGTGAATAGAGTTTGAGTTAAAGTTAGCATATCGTCCAGCTCAGAATACAATCAGAATATGGTACTTAAAACAGAAACAAGCACGTTGCTATAAACCAAGGGCCTCAGCTCAAGGACCTAAATGGTGAAAACATCAAATGCAAGATTCATTAGCAAATGGCAAGATGACTAGCTTTATATCAGATTTCACACATGCATAGAGCCAATACCTCTTTAGATGCCCGGAACTCCTCTAGCTTATCGCTTGCAGAAACTTCTGTAAGTCTTGTGGTATCCCTGACATC